AACACAGAAGTTTTTGATTACATTAAAAATGAGGGATGTGCTACAGACACAAAAATAAAAATATGAACAAAGAGAGTTGTTGTGAATTGAATTTTTTTAATAGAATAGTTTTTTTACTAATATAAAAGAGTAATTTAAGCTTCTCATCAAGAGAAATAAAAAAAAACTAAAATTGAAAATGCTTTGTCCGCTATTTCAAAATGTTCAAACAGAAGGAGAAATTACGATTGGAATAGACGAAGCAGGAAGAGGACCTGTTTTAGGACCAATGGTATATAGTGCATTTTTTACTACTAATACAGAAGTTATAAGTACCATGGGGTTTCATGACTCTAAAATTTTATCCCGAACGATGAGAGAGAAGTTATTTACTGATATAAAAGAAAGTGCTGTGTGTGGGTTTTCAACACGAATTCTCACTCCAAGTTATATCAGTCAGATGATGTGTGGTCCTCAAAAGGTTTCATTAAATGAAATAGCATTTAGTGCAGTTAGAGATATTATCCATCAAATCATCAGAACAAGTCAGCGTAAAATTGTACATATTTATTGTGATACTGTTGGACCTTCTAAAAAATATCAAGCGATGATTGCAAATGAATTTAAGGAAGTTAAATTGAGTCAAATTACTGTTTGTCCAAAAGCTGATGGATTATATCCAGTTGTTAGTGCAGCAAGTATTTGTGCTAAAGTAACAAGAGATACTTGTCTTGATAATTGGATTTATGAAGAAACAAACATTCAAACAAGACAAGTTGGTTGTGGATATCCAAGTGGTTTGTTATTTTTCAGTGTTTAATAAAATGATTAGTACGATATAATTAATATATAACTAATTGATAGATGTAGATACAATAAAATGGATGAAATGTCAATATGACCCATTGTTTGGATATCCTAATTTAGTCAGATTTGGGTGGGAAACATCTAAGAGAATCATTGAAGAAAAAGTACCAATGAAAAGACCATTTCCTTATCAAAATAAACAAGATGTAGTTGGAATAATTCAAAGTAAATTATTTGCAAATAAAGGAATAACTGAATTGACTGAATGGTAAGTAAAATCAATTTTCTTGTTAAATAAATTTATATAAATGAGTTAATTCATCATTAATAATAGTCAGGGTCTTTTGGCATAATATCTTTATCTCTACCAAAATGACGAGCCATTCTTCTCAAATAAAATGGTTGGTCTATCAACCTTCCAAGGTCACAAAATAACATGTCTCCACAATATGTCCAAGGATTAAATTTAATAAAGGATAAATAACGTTTTAGTTCATGATTTGACATTAATGTTCCCCACCATCCCCAAATACATGCAATATTAGGATCATAATAACCATCATTTGTTGCTCTTAGTGGTGTTGCATATTTAGTAAGTGTTCTTGGACCATAAGAATCAAAAACTTGTTTAAGAAAGACAAATGAATTTCTATGAATTGATTGATCATCTTCAAAGAACATGATAAAATCAGTGTTATTAAATTCTTTAAGAGCAAGTTGTGCACCCTGATGGAAGTAGTATGTTACAATATTATCTTTTTTATGATGACCAAAGTTACGGTATGCACGTTGATCTTCAGACCACAAGCTGTGATACATTTCTTCAAAAGAATAAATATTTGATGGTTGAATCCATTTAAATGGCTCAAAATGTGCAATCGAAGAATTTATCCCATGTTTTTGAAGTTCAAAGTTAGCCATTTCCATTTCTGGATGAGGACAATGATTACAACCTTTAACAAAGTAAAAATGATCTATCACTATTTCTGGTGGTTTTCTTTCATATGCATTTAACAAATACTCAACAGAATAATTCAACATTGGAACTTCCTTTGGTGCACCTAACATAATCATACACATATGATATTGTTTTGCATTTGAAACTACAATAAAGAGGAGTAGGAAACAAAACATTAACAAATAATAATAAAATAAGATGTTTTTATTATATTAGAAGATAAAATGATGAGATGATACTATCTTATTGTGTTTTATGTGATTTTTTTATTATTTACGGTAATATAACATTAAACCGACATAATTTATCTCAAATAATCATATTCTATTTTATTATTTCCATTATAAAATTAAAA